GATGTTTTGTTGCAGCATTCAGTCACGGGCAAAAAATGTAGTCTTTGACATTTTACAGCTGTAGTCAATCAAGTAATAATTTATAAGTTGTTGAAGAATGGTTTCAAAACGAAATTCTTTTTGTTAAAATTAGGATCAGTGTATTATGGGATCAATCAACTTAAGAGTCGCTTTCATGTGCTCTTGTGATATAGTAAAATGGTTTCAATTAACGTTTAATGGAAATGATATAGAACATGCCTTGGACGTATTAATTTCGCTTTTATGCATTATGTTTCTTTCTATCGAACTTGATGATTGTTGTGATGAAGCTCTGTGACTCGGAAATCAGTAATAATATAGATTAAACTTTCCTTAAAAGGTCCTTTAATCCATCCACATAACTGAACAGTGAACCATAACTCTCAGGTAGAAAACTGTAAAAAAGGCAAAACATTGTCACAATCCACTGAGTGAGGCCAGGATTGATAGTGTAATACGATGATGTAAGTAGTGAACTTCATTGATGTACTGATATTGATATCCAGAGTATTTTATTCTGGTCATCTAAAAACAATCTCAAAATGAAAAAAAATTTCTAAAGGTTACTCACTTTTCATCGCTTTTATAGCCTTGTTATAGATTTCGCTTTCGTAGAGTATATTTTCTGGAAACAAAATAAGTAGTTCAGAGGCTTTGTCTCAGCCTGAAGACATTTGCCGAAAGCATGCTTCTTCAGTCTTTAACTTCACAGGTTTTTCAAAAGATGATGACCAAAAGACCGGAGAGCATAAGGTATAAAGAAGTCATCAGTATAGGTTCTCTCAAAAGTGGTAATAAAAAAATTGAATAAGAACTATCAAAATATATGAAAGAAGTTTACAAATGCTACTAAAAGTAGCACCCTATCTTCACATCACAGCATAGTAATAGGAAAATTTAGTCCTTTTTCTCAGATGTATCTTCGTTTCCTTTTAACTGGTTAAATTAGATGCAGTATTTGAAAACGGACTAGCCGTGGCACAGAAACGTGACTGCTGATTCACGTTAGCGGATCATTTTCTACATTACAAAGCCATAGGACCATATTGCAATCAGTATGATTTTAATGTTGTTTTTCCGACAGTTAAGATAATCTTCATTAATCTGTGACGTATGAGAAATAATAATCCACTCTGATGGTTGTCCATTTGTGTACAGCTCAGATAACTTACACTATTCCAAAAAAACAAATTTAAGTGACTATTAGAACCGATGTATTCTACGTGAAATGAAAAATACTATTAGTTAATTATGGTTATGCATGTATGTATGCAGATCTGCTTTGCTGCTGTCTCAACATATTGGTAAAAAATTTACAACATGAATTATATGGTTTCATACTATGGTCATTAGCATATGGTCCAAAACATCATCTAATAATAACTGGAATATTGTTCATCAATATTAAAAACCTTAGCACGCATATTAATAAGGCGATAAATAATGCATAAATTAAGGATTCTGTTCATTTTTTTGGTAATGATAGTCTATAGTGTGGTGGGAATTCGACAATTGTCTCTTACTCCTTCTAGTATTGAAGATTTAATATCTAAAATAGCTCTTCCACCTAATTTTATTTACCAAACACAGCATAATCAGATTTAAAACCCAGTATTTATGACAAATTATAGAAAGTTAAGTAAACATCAGAAATTGGAGTATAATGCATGACAGTTTCATTCCGTTAGATTAGTTCTTAGCATTATGCATAATGTTTATTCTCTACACTCAAAATAGATTGTAATTTATTTAATTGGCAGTGTCTAGCAGTGAAATCCAGGACTCAAAACAATTATTCTTAGACTATATAGGCTCATGTTATGAAAAGCACTTCCAACAGACTGCAGAAATTCATCAACAGGTGCCTCCTACTCTCGATACTAAAGATGGCCGGAATAGAAAGAATAAGCAACAAGGAACTCTAAGAACAAACCAACCAACAGCCTATCACTCAATAAATATGCAGAAGAAAGTCGAGGTGGATTGGGTATACACTGAGGAGGCCGATTGGGGACATCATGCGTCAGGCCAGGCACTCGAGTGGAATCCAAAGGTGAAATGAGGAGTTGGGCGTCCGAGGCAACGGTGACATGGAGGAGATGGTGTGAGGAAGAAATGAAAGCTTGTGGGCAGTTGTGGAGCCGGTTCAAAAGACTGCAGAGAAGAGAGTCCAGTAGAGGCGTGTTGCTGAAGCCCTATGTTCCACTAGGAATCCAAGGGAATAATAATAATAATATGGGCTCATAATCGCTTACCTAATTCAATGAAGTTGAAGGAAGAAACTAAAGGTTTTTAACCTGAAGTTAAGTATTAATAACTAATTTTCTTCTTAGTTAATATTAAAAAGAATATAAAAAGGTTTCCCAACTCATTAAATAGACTATCTTCGATGGATGCAGACAACTACAACAATGAGTTAAACAATGAAACATATATGTTGGAAATTCGAATTTTTCAAGTAATCGCTAACTAACTAACAACAGTATGACTGGATTAAAATAACCCAACTGTTTGACAATAATATTCGTTCCTCTGTGGAATTATTCTGAAAGGAATGAAGTTATGATTTAATAATCCATGTCAAAAGTATTCGGGAACATTATTTACCATTAAGTCAAGATTTTCCTTTTTAATGTTCACTCATGTAGGTTATGACTGGTAATTTAGATGAAATCTATTATATATTATACTGATCCTAAGAAAACAAACCTAGTTTTGATCAATAAAACTACTAACAACCAACCTAGTAATCACTGTAAGCCTTAATCAGTAACACTAAGCCTTTAATCGTAATGATTAGGGTAAGAGTAAATCTGTGACATTTTGGAAGACTATAATTCCTTATTATTAGGGGCATACAGAAAAGGTATTGTTTACTGGAAAAGCTGCTGAGCAGAATTTATTGCTCATTAAACAAATAAAAATATAATCACATAAATTTCAAACTCTCCTTTTATAGTTAAACAATACTTTATTCTTCTGTTTCTAATAGTAATAGAAATTTTAAAGTGTCTATAGTTTGGTATGAATCATTTCTGTCGAATATTTTAAAGTTTATCTTGATGAAAAAGGATTCAGTAATAAGTTCCCCTGCCTATTTAGCCATTTTGTATTTTGGCTGTTAGCCCAAACAGCTTTCAGTTGCTAAAATTCTTCTCTCCTAATGTTTTTTCATTATCATTTTATTAAGTGTAAACCTTGAGCATTGTGGAAGAATTAAATTCCATATTAGATTTGTTTATTCGATTTATAGCACACAGTGATACAATATTATTAAATTGATGACGACGTTTCGAGCACAAATGTATGAAGTCTCTCACTGTTGGTTTAAGCCATGGAGGACGATGCAGACTAGGTGGTTGGGTCCACGGGACAAGAGGAACCAGTGGTTGGAGACCCTAGGTGATATGGCTCAGAACCGATGTCAGTGGCGCAGATGTATACACACATTATCCTCATCTTAACGAGGCTATACCGAATCTCACCATTTTGTCACTCCTTTTTCCGTTCCTCTCGTACTTTATATTTCTTTTGACTGTATTCACTTATCTTCATCCTTCACCTCACTACCTTTTTACTTGATGTGCTGATATGAGGTGTGGCAACTCGGACCGTTACGCAGTAATGCCTGGTCCTATGTTGATAATGATGATGATGAGCACAAATTATTCCTCATAATCATATCAATGTATTCACACTACGTTCGACATCTGATTTTTATAATCTTGTCACCTGATATGCTCTGCTCATATTGGTAGTAGTTGTTTATGTATCTATGGTATAGGTGTTGCGTCATTCCTATCACATATGTTTTGTTGGGTGTTAATTCGTCAAACAAAACTCAGTAATCAGTCTCTCTCTCCATGTAACTAAATTGGACTTCAGTACAGTGGAATTATGCCACCTAGCCTGTTGTATGGTTGTGTTAATGCATGCATTGCAATAGACGAGTACTTTTCTAGATTATTGATCTTATTCGGGTCTGTCATTCTATATTCAGCTAAATTTCTATGTTTCGCTATTGTAACTGATCCCAACCGACTAGTTTGACGTACGTACTTGACTTCATAGTCATTGCATAGAATTTGATAGATTAGATTATTTTGCCTAATTGGGTTTATCGCATCCTTAAGCCAACCAATAAAGCTTATCTCCGAATGAATTTGTAGCTTTAAATGCCACCACTGATTCCAGCTTTGTTGAGAATCCTATGTAAAGATTCTGAAATACCTTTCTTATAGGGTAAGATAATGGAGGCCGTGAACTCCTTTCTACTTGTGTTGTCGTTATAATTCCTACCCGTGTTACTGCTATTATTTCGTATCTTGTGTGTTCATACAAAGCATGAATTAATTATAAACTTATCCTAATCTAACAGAGCATGAGAAAACGATTTTCTTCTTCGCTACTGTTGATAGTTTGAATCCAGCTTGGCAATGACTCAAAGGAGTGCTTACAAACTACTTGAAACCATCTAGAAAGTTGTAACAACGAAGATGATCAAGATCTGAAGAGGAAAAATGGGAGATAAATCATTGCGTCCTACTTACTGGCTTCAGGGTGACACGTTGTTATTTGTTTCACAATGTTCTGTTAGCATCAAGCAGTAAGGAAGTAGAAAACCAGCACGAATAATTTCTACTGAAAATATACTAGACCATGAATTATCTGAACCCTCTGATCTTCTGAACCAACTGTAATATATACATAATTCAAGAGTTTGAAAACATTTAAGTGAAAGTTGCATTTATACACCGTTTTGATACCTCTAATCTTCTAGTTGTAAATTAGATTTAGTGACCTTTTGATATTAATTGTCCATGAAATGATTTATTCATCTATGCACTCGGTATCAATATGGATTAGTTCGCTGTATGTGTACTAAAAGACAACATCCTTCAATGATGTATTGTTAAAAGTAACATTTTTCATCAGTTATCATATCTTGTCTCTATTGTTTTCCTTCACTGATTATTTAGGTTGAGGCCAAGCGAGCTTTACCTAAAGAAGTACTCAGTTCAAGTAATGCTTTAGTTAAACAAAGAAGTTTACTGCCTAATGCATTTGGTAAGTCATACTACATTCTGTGTATTTTATGAAAAAATCCAATAAACCTTATGTTCAGTTTGGAGGCTTGTGGGAATTTATTGATTCACATTGTAAACCTGAAAGCACTGAACAGCTGTTAGTTGCTTAAGATGAGAATGGTTTGGTGTTCAGTGGGCTTTTATATTTAGCTGTTGACGTTTCATCACTAGATTTGCAGACACTCACCGCACTAACGTTGTCATGAAGTTAGTACCAAGTGTGCCTGATGTTGAAACATCTATTAAAAGGCATCAAAGCTCAGAAAACGTCAAAATACTATAGAGTTTATGTAACCAAATAACCCAGTCACCCCCTGTTACACACTCAAAGTAAATCTAAGCCTATCAAATTGATTATGAATGGGTTTAATTGAAGTTAACCTTGACTGGTTTGTAAGAAGAGGTTCTCGTGCAACTAGAGACTTCATGAGTTCTGATAAAAGTAGATAGCAGGGTGAAATACACTACTGATTTTAAGATCAAAGTTTGTGCAAAAATAAATATCATAAACTTTCAGAGAGTTATTTTTTAATGAACATACAGTGTTACTATTTAATGACATACCTATTATTCTCCGTTATTTTGTTGGATCGAATTGTTCCACCTCTGTTGGCATATGGGCTTCTATGTAGATGCCTCGATATTGCCTGGATGTTAATTATGATAATTTGGTTGGTTATGGCTAGCAGAAGAATCTAGGACGCGCGTTTTGTCCTATTTGGGACTCTCAAGCTGGATGTAACTGCATCCCAGTGATGTTCTCACTAGGACTCAAACCCAGTACCCATCGCTTCAAACGCCAAGGCGTTATCCACTTTGCCACAAAGGAACGATAGCTACCTCTCGTGCAACGGGTAGTAGTTATTACTATTTATTGACATACTTGTTATTCTCCGTAAGCGCATACGCCAGTAGAGGTCGAACAATTCGATCCAACAAAAAAACTGAGGGTAACAAGTATGTCAGTAAATAGTAATAACTACTACCCGTTGTACAAGAAGTGGCTATCGTTCCTCTGTGGCAGAGTGGATAACGCCTTGGCGTTTGAAGCGATGGGTACCGGGTTTGAGTCACAGTGGGAACAACATTACTGGGGTGCAGGTACATCCAGCTGAAGAGTTCCAAATAGGACTTAAAGCGCGTCCTTGATCCTTCTGCTAGCCACAACCAAATTATCATAATGAACATACAATATCTTACAACAATGAGCATTCAACTGATAGTTGACTGTATTCTAAATCGGTATATTCAATTTCTGGTTTGTTATTTGGTTGCCGAAGCTGCATTGTTCGACCATAATATCAACATAAACTAGTTACAATGAATTTAAAATACTTCCTAGAAGTTACCCAAAATGTTTATGTCTTCACTTCTTTATCATTCATATGGATAAGTTACACACTGTATGCGGAAACTTTTGATGGGCACTGAAAGTGACTGTTTTTTATTGTTACTGAGATCTAGGTTGATAATATATAGTCTCAAGCATGATATTTTGGCATAATTTTCAAGTTATGATTAAAATTGTGTGCAGGACTAACACGCTTTGAATAGAAATAGGGGATCGGAAATTCAAGATCATTTAATCTCTCATGTAACCTGAAGAAGAATCAGCCTAAGAATATGCACCTTGTGCAGACTACCCTACCACTTACGGGAATTTAAATACCGATCATTTGATGGAATAAATGGATCTGATGATACAACTGAAATTACATGATCCAGTTTTTGGGATTTAAAACAGTTAATGTACAGTGGGAATGCATCAGTGAGAAACTAAGGAATAACTACTAAACCTGAAACAATTTTAAATGTTGCATTAACTGCAACGTGATAGCATAAAATTCACTTCGCCGAACATAAACGTTAAAGAACTCCGTGAAACTGACCTTATGATCAAGAAGTTGTTGATTCAAACTACTAGTGATAACTTTCATTGTCAAACTGGTCTCAGTGAATAGGATAGTAAATGACATTGAAATGAAACTCGAGTAACAGCAAGGTGGGCATTGGTACTCATCATGTTACTAGTTCATTGTTTTGATGGTGAAGCTATAGCATGTGATTGCCGATAAGGCTCCATATTTTTCCCCCGATTAGCTGTTAAAATAAGTGACTTTTCACTCAGTACACACTAAGAAGTGGTCTGAAAGTAGTACACTCTATTTCAGTTTTCAGCTTTTCGCTGTTCTCATCACATTCTGCTGACGGAAATGGGACAGGTGACAAACAGCACACTTGTGAGCAGTTATTCAGACAGATTCAGTTAGAAGGATGTAGGAACACAACAAACACCTTGGGAAGTTGTATACTGAAGGTAAGCAACTTGTTAAATGTGAACCTGGAAAGGTACTATTTAACTTAACTGAAAACTAATCAGTTTCAAACGCTCCTGAAACACCACATTAGGAAGTAACATGCTAATTTTATGCCAGAATCTACAGTATTTATTGTGTCCTGCCGATGATGCTGGATTTTCACATATATAGGCACATAAAAGTTTTCAAGGCTGAAAGAAAGGCCACTTTAGTAAATGTAAATCAAACTTGGGTACTTTGTATAGACCATTGAGTTTCAGTACTGACGTTTGATGCTTCATTTGTGAATAATCAACATTTGTTTTATTTTACTTAGCCCTACCAAATGAGGTCGATTCAGCGGCCACGGCGGCGGCAACAATCGCTGCAGCTGCGCTTGCTTCAAGACAACAACAACATCCTCATTATCAGAATATAAATCACAACCTACCGAATTCAGGATCTGCATTTGTCTCACTTGCATATGCATCTTGTGAGTTAAATCGTTAATTTAAATTAGTGTTTGGTCAGCATCAATTTCGAAAGTTTTGTTATATTTTACTTAATATTCTAAAAACGATGTAGCTGAGATTGTAGTCAGTACGAGTAACCATCGGAAATAAATGCCTATGTAAAAGGACTGTTAGCCTTCTTTCCTGTCAGTCTTTTGCCCGCCTACTCAAGAAAACTCTTAAAATGGAATATGTTACCATCAGGTCACCTAACAAACAAGTAATATCTTCCCCCCTATTGCTTATTTTACAAACTCATTATTACTCGACTCTGCTCATGATATATGGAATCACATTCCTTCTTGCGTGCATTTTATTAATACTAAGACCATGAACAATAAATTGCGTCCGAAATACCATCCAGTAAATATTACTGCTTCATTGTGTGATACATCTAATAAGTCAATTTAAATGGTATTACATTCGATCAGTTAACCCTGGTGTTACACACTTAATTGAATAGTATAGTCTTCATGCCTGTAGATTAATCAACAAACTGATAAGATTTTCATAGACAGAAGCCAACCATCGTAAATTGGATATCCGATGTGCCAGAAATCAAATCACTTTAATATACCTAAGTCTATGAACTTTAATTACAAGAAACAAGATTGAAGCATTAACTCAGCGTATCAATAAACTCTGTCTAAAAGAAGAAATTCACAAAGTAGTCAAGAAGTTACGGAAAATCTGTATTTACATTGAAATAAAATATAAACTGATGCGAATGGCTAGTAAAAAAAGAGATTACAAACTCCTGGTCAACAAATTCAGTAGAGATCAGCTGCTTTTAAATAATTCAGGAGTACTCAAATAAAAAAGCTCGATCATCTGGTGGAAAAAATGTGTTCAATCGAGAATAATGAGATTGCCAATAGCATAAAATTAGTCATTGATAAAACAAAGTGAGTTGTCAGTCTTTTAACTACAGTTTTATCATCAATTGAAGTATTCTGGAAAAGGTGCTCAGCTTTAATTTAGCAGTTAATGAATCGAAATCTGAAGATACTATTCTTAAAACTGTAATACCATTAACTTCAGTAGATAAGATAGTTGGGGATGAGGTGCGAGCACAATATGAATTAACATTAAAGCTGCAGAAAAGGAAGAAAGAGAGTTTATCGGAAGCAGAAAAAGAGGCCTCGAAAAATTTTCGGAATGACAACAATATATTAGTTACTAAATCAAGCACATTTAGTTGTTTTACTATTATATTATTATAATTTGCTTCCATCGTAAGGTTCATCTGCTGGAGTTGCTGCTATTGGCTTACATCATATGACGACTATAAGGTTAGACAGAGACCTCAGATGTGTTCACTTTTCTTCCCTTAACGTTTCTCTCTTTGTGAAACTGCTTTCTTTACTCAACAGGCACTTTAGTCAAATATCTTGACAATGAAACTGCAGCAAAGTTGCATTTCATATCGTGGAGACTATTCTCAAGTGTTTTAGCAATTGTTTTAATGAAAACTTAGTTACATTTTATCTTAAATGTTCTAAGGTTTGTTTTCTTAAATGCTGGATTGGCAATCTTTACGTCGTATTTGACACAGGTGTGAAAAAACGTTTCAATCTTACACTTTCTGCTAAATTAGTATTTATGGTGTATACAATACTACTCACCCCAATTATAGCTTTTCTTCTTAAATTTCCTACATGTTTCATACTCTATTATTACTCAAAACGTTTCGTGCCTTATGCTTTTTAAAGGAAGCTGTATGTTCTGTATATAACTCTACCTTTTCAAATACCACAAATTAGACCATTTTACATTGCGAACTACATAAATACGAATCCGTGTGTAATACATAAACCTCACCGTTGCTTGTTAGCTCTCAGAAGGTAGTATTTTCCATTGCTTAAGACTATGAATACCGTTAGATGGTCAAAGGATGAATCTCCAACTTTTCAAAGAGAGACACTTTTGGCCAATCCTTGGAATTGATGTTTACAGCTACATGCAGTTATCGGATCATGTATTAAAGATACTAAAACAGCTTTGTAAGTTCTTTATGGAGGACGGATATGAAGTAGTTTTAATCAAGTTTGGGTTTACGAGGTAGATGAACATATCTTACTCAATCCCCACCTTATGCTATGAAGTAAGTGCAAAACTGGAATTGACGTTCAATTTTCAAGACATTTACAAAAGTGACTATTACATTTTGTTGTTACTGCTTTCTGAATTTTTATATTTTCATATCAGTTATCTGTACAGAAATTTAAATTTATTGTCAAGAAAGTGTCTTTTGAGAAGAAGCTGTCACACGGTTACTTTCTGAGGACTCTATATTACTGTGTATGACATATCTAAATGTGTTATGAACCATGCTATTATTGTTACCTAATTTAAGAAGTTCTGTCTGAATGCTTTTTAGACAACTTAAAACTTTATTACCAGGTTAAGAAAACTAACTTGTTTACTACAATTATTTGACAAAACCTACTCATATTATTACTGTTCTACTACATTCTGATAAACATTAGCTTACTTTTTTCGAATAAATCCCCTTGCCACTTCGGATAAGAATTTCCCTTAAAAACTGTATATTAAATTCCACTCAGTATACTGGAATTTTCACAGTTATTCATGAAGATACACTCAGGTGTCAAATCAGAACTCAACTTCGATAGAAATCAAAGCAGTTGACGTTTTTTCTAACCGATGCTTTTAACCTAATCAACATTTTTCAGAGTTGTTTTCTTTTCAAACTGTTTTTGTGAGTTGCTTTCACCATAATTTACATTTTACAAATATTCTTATTTCGTCTTCGAAATGATTGCATTGAAGAAAAACAATGATCTACTAAACAAACGAGTCTGTTATATATTGCCCATAATTAATAACAAGTAGTATTTACACACAAGTTGTTACGTTTTAAATGGAGATTTTACTCTGCCTGCCTACATGTAAGGGATGTCATGATATGAGACATGGCGTAATAAAATGCGATATTCAAGTCTCTCATGGTGAACTGAATACAACATAATGCAATAGAATTCATATCATACTGGAATGTAATGGATTGTACTACTGATAGTCGATCTAAAATCATATTCTTTCTGAAATACGCAGCTGTTTTAAACAATGGCTTGAGCTTGTCAATGAAGCCGTGACTTCTGAAATATTCTTTATAGCTTTTTCAAATGAGTATGGAATGATTGCATTCTTTCGAAAGAAGTGAATAGAATGATGTGAAAACTTGAGTAGTTGTCGTGTGGTTACAATTGTTCAAAAGAACTGTATTTAAAATAATAAACTTCTGTGCTAGTATACGCTAAGACTTTTAAAACACAGTATGAACTACTTTGTTGACTGATCGAATCCTATCATTCTGTGAAACATCAGCCACCAGGTATTAATCAGATTGTCAACTTATGAATTGAAACTTTTATGAAAGTATCACTGATTCAAATGTTATCCAGTCTATGCCGGTTCAAGTATTCAATTCATATCAGTGGTACTCATATAGTAACCATAAATTAAAATGATTATCACAAAACTGTAGAAGTTTAATTAGTGTAATTTTCATTCTAATTGAACTATTTTGGTAGGAACGCAACAAAAATAGATGTTTCTCGGTGAACATGTATCAGTTTGCATTATTAATCGGTAGTAGCCAGCAACGGATACCAAGACGAGCATTTCGTTCTATTAAGGACTCATAAGCTGAATGTATTTGCCTCTCAGTGAGCAATGTTGTTCCCACTAAGATTAAGTTACAACGTATATTTTTTTGGCTCCTAGAAAAGTTTAATGCCTTAAAATAGATTTTGAAGAAACATTGAGCTACTGTCAGTCTACTTGTCAAGGTTAGGGTCTACAACAAGGGTCTACTTGTTGTAGTCGTAAACCATTATTTTTTTCGACAATATATTACACTTCCACACGGTTGATAATGTCCTAATGTTTACTTTTAAATATATAACTGATTTAAAGATAGACATTAATTTTAAGTCGAGCTTTCCTGCAATAAAAAAGTACAGGAGATATAATTTTCTTAGATGGAGGAATTGACTGAAAGAGTCGTGAAATGATAAATAAGAAATGAATAACAATTGTGGGAAAAGCAATAGATATTTAAGACTGACAATTACATACTAAGCAAATGATTATTTGTCAATATTACCAACCTTTACGCATATTATTCCATGCCCTCAAGATTTAATTCTTGGCATTTTGTGAGGTATAAAAAGAAAAATTAGCTAAAACCATCACTGAGTGACCTTACTGACTTTCACCGCTCCCTAATTTGAGTTTCAAACTGTCCACCTTTTTTAGTTGCATATTCGACAGCATTCTCCATTTATATTCTCCATTTATGGTAGTTACCCGAAAAAGTATCAATCTTACTAACTAAAGGTTTTCTACAGTTTAAATTTGTCATCTATTCGACAATGTGACCTTAAAATCACTTAACAGGTTACTCAGTTATGTATATGATGCTGTTTATGCGTTGATGTATCCCATTTTCGGAACATTTGATTTGCCAAACAGAAGATATCATGCATGCAACTGTACGAAAGAAACCACTTTCATACTATGTGCTTATATTTTGAAAGGATATAATTATCGGTTTCTGATTAGAAAGGTTTTTATAAAAACGATTTCTATATGACCTTATGAACCATTTTTGTTGAAATATGGTCGAAAAAGATTGTAGCTACCAGCAGATGGAATCAGATGAGTTATTTTGGAGCTAATGAATATTATGGAATCATTGAATGATGCACATATTGTTCTGTTTGGAAATTTGTAGTTTTATAATCTGCTCCCTTTGTGCTGTTGTTCTCAAGAAAATCTGAACTCGAAAGCTATAGTATAAAACGCCAGAGGTGGGTACATCAAACTGAATAGCTGTAAATCGGATGAAAAGCTTTTCTTAGATTCCACTCCCATTCACTGATAACCTCGAACATGAGAATAACATTACTGGCCATACTGTAACCCTTCATCTCATGCTTTTGCAGTGGTCTCTGATGTTAATCATAACTGTCCAGTCGACGATGAGAACTAAGTAGTTATAACATTAATACTTACTTATTTTGTTGTACTGAAAAAGGTAAGGTCCTTACAGCCTGAATTTAAAAAAGGATTTTTCATGCAAAACAGCATGAATGATGCGTAATCTCAACAATTCAATGGAATTCTGCAATTCCTTTTTGCATGCTCATATTTTTTGGCATCAGCTGTGACTTAAGTTTGTTTATTTTTTTCATTGTCAAAACTAGTAATGCCATTCAATCAGATGCAGCCATTTGGACTATCAGCTAATAATTTTGTTGGAAATCCCCTGAATGTATCAAACATGACAATGGAATCCTCAGGAATACATCCTCAAAACCTAAATCATTCAGGTTCAATTGACTTTCCACCTGCAACTGTATTACAAAATGGTTAGTGATTTCACTTCATACTAATGACCTGTTTTAAGCAATGATTTTTAATATTTGTTCAATAAGAATACAAAATTGTAATTAGGATTAATAACTTGATGCCATCTATTTGTTAACGAGACTGACAATCAGCTAAAAGTCATGGATAGAAATCTGAAGATTGCTCGATCCTATCAGTTTCATATATCTTTTACCGTGATCTAATTTATGAAGCTTGCCGTATACATAATATTTTCGGGGTAGTGTCCATCATGAACTGACATTAGTTGGGGAACCATTGAATACTTGGGAGCGCTGGACAGCAGCTTTGTCCTAGTATGGGACTCCTAATGTCAGTCTATGATGAATACTATCTCTAAATTAAAATCATCATCCATCTCAAAAACACATTACTGTATAGTGCTCTTTAGTGACACGAAGTTCTAATGAGAAGCCATGACCTGAGGAGGTGAAACTGTCGGAAGGGTAGTGGATGCCAACTGAAGACCTTGGGTGACAGTCGCTCTATATCGTGAATTGAGAGAAGTTGGAAACTGTTAACCATTGAAAACCGACTCAGTGGCTGAATGATTAACGCGTTTACCGTGAAACCTGAAAGTTCTGAGTTGAATCCTGAGCCTTGATGTGGGTAGGTACTGCTGAGGAGTCAAATACTAGTGTGAAGCAGCTTTCCAGTGCTCTCAGGTTTTCAGTGGTTCCTCAGCTGATGTCAGTCTGTGATAAATGCCACCTCTAAATTAAAATCCATATCTATCTCAAAATAACATGATATTTTATCCTTGGTTGAAGTTGCTAACTCTAAGCTATGCATTTCTTTATGTCGAGCTCACTGGCGCTGTGGTTTTTTAAGCTGAACACTGTGATCTTGACGGCTAAGACACAGATATACAGCTGTCTCCAACAACCAAGGTTTGAATATCTATATTTTGTTTTCATTGCTCACTAAAAATGCTGAGCGTTATTCACTTGGTCACTAATTTAAAAAAAATTCTAACAGTGTTGCATGAGCCATGTCTCTTCGAATAGTGAGTGATTCGGAAAAAATAGAAGCATACGAACATGTAACTTTCCTAGATTCGAAAATATACCATCGTGCAACACCTTGTTGTTATTCAGTAAAACATTACTTTAAGGCAAATAATGACCTTGAACTAAGTTAAACATTTTCGAAATAATTCAATATCATAGATACCGCAATAACAGTGTCAAAAATATTTGAAAGAAAATATAAAAATGACGGTTTTGTCTGTTTATCTATTATTTTTGGTAGTTAAAATGACATTTGCTAGTTTTGGTAAGGTATGAAGCTGATACCTCAACAATGGCCTAAAAAGGACAGCTGTAACTATGGCTCAAAAAATCAATAATACTACTGATTAACTGCATTAGTGATTTGTAATGACCGATTGACAAAAATTAGATTGTGTGCCGAATTCATCTGCCATAAATATTTATTAAAATACATTGAAAACCTGATACAACTGTGTAAAAGTAATCACAGAAAGCATCCTAACAAAGAGGAAAAATGAAGTAAGAAATTAAGGAAATAGCATAACTGAACCTCGTCTAGGTAACTAATTCACTAGTTACTAGCCGTTACTAAACACGGATAAAGAGGGAAGGTTGGGCATACGGCCAACAACCCCACACCGGAAAACCAATCCAACTCCTAAACAAACTTTTAAGCACAAAGAAATCATAAAAAGAAAACAAAATATTCCTCCCCGGATTCGGAGAGGCAAAATAATGCCAGTTGGTTAAAGCCTTCACGAAACCAATTGGCCCATTTGTCATCTCTCCTCTCGATGACAGCGAAAGTAACAATGGGACATGGAATGTCCGCGCCATGTACAAACCTACCAAGGATGCTCAGATTGCAAACGAGATGACAAGGTATGACATAGAAGTGCTTGGAATCTCCAAGGAATCTGTGAAACCAGATGGATTGGAAGTGGACTCTCTCAACTGTTAACTGAAGAGTCAATAATCTACTCCGATATTGTCACTCAGACGACAACCACGAGCACACTGAGTTTTGGAGTTGCTATCATGATGTCTCCAACATCATCGAAGGCTCTCATGTATTGGGAGCCAATCTCCTCCTACACGATCGGCATCGTGACAGCAAGATGGATTCAACTGAAGATTCAAGAAGGGAAAGTCACAATCATGCAATGCTACGCCACACACCTACAAGTAATACAGATGTGGAGAAGGAGGAGGGATTCTACAGACAACTGCAATCAGTAATAGACAAGATCCCACCACGTTGGGTGACATCAAAATTCATTCTAATGGGTGGGGTGACATGAAGACCAAACTGTGAGTGGACAACACAGGAAGAGGACTGATCCATCATGGGTAGAGATGCACTTAGTGAGACCAACGAAAATGCAGGATTGTTTGCAGAATTCTGTGCACTCAACAATTTTGTGACTGGAGACAGTGTGTACAAACACAAGGTATTCACAAATCGACATGGATTTGATTTCACCAGATGGACACACTAGAATTCAGATGGACTGTATTTGAATCTGAAGAAAGTGGAGACACAGCTGGCCTACTAGACACAAGATCAAGAGGGGGAGTAGATTTAGGTTCAGACCACTATCTAATGCAAGGAACCTTCCAAATCAAGTTGAAAGCCTTGAAAGCAGTTGGTGATAGACCACAGTTCAAGTTGGACATGCAGAACAGAAACTGAAGGAGAAAACTGCAATGGACAGCTTCACGTCAACCATCAGAGCAAATTGGGAGGTATCGAGCATCCTCTCTGAAGGAACCTGAGTGGGATAGCACTGGAACTCTTTGAAAGGTATATGGAAGGAAACCTACATTACTGTGCTAGGATGGAAGAGGAAAGAAGACAAGAAATGGATCTCGATGGATACATAGAAGCTGATAGAGGAGGGTGTGGAAGTTGGTTAAGCAAGAGATGAACTAGCTAACTGCAGTGCAGTGCAGGGATGAACAACGAAAAGAAGAACTGAGTGCGACGTATAAAACACTACACTAGACGAAGAATTGAAGACGAGTGCACGGAAAGGCAAAAGACACTTTCACGACACTCTGCCAAGGGAAGCAGAAGAGGCTGCAGGTAGGAGAGACAGAGACCTGACAGCATTATATCAAATAACCAAAATACTATCTGACTAAGAAGAGATCAACGTAGATGAAGCCAATGAAAGATAGTGAAGGAAAGCTAGTTACCAAAAAGAAGAAACAGAGGAAATGATGGGCTGGCCACTTCGAAAAACTCTTGAATCGACCGCCACCAACACCACCACATGGAACTCGTCCAGAAATACCACCAGCAACCGTGAAACTGCCAGTGAATACAGGCCCTCCAACACAAGCGAAAGTGATGTCCTGAACGCCATAAAGTTGCCGACATCCGGAAAAGTAGCAGGACTAGATGAAATCTCGCCAGAAGCACTAGACACTAACTCAGAGACATCAGCGGTTAGGCTCACACCACTGTAACAAAAGGTTTGTTCGGGAGGAAGGAAAGGTACCCGCCAATTGATTGGAAGAAGGGCTACCTTGTCAAACTCTCAAACAAGGGAGACCTAAGTCATTGCAAGAACTGGTGAGGAATCATGCTCTGGTCCCTGTCCACGCTAGACAAACGATTAAGCCACATCATCCTGGAGAGACTCAGCAATGCTCTGGATTCAAAATTACGACCAGAACAGGCTGGCTAGCTGGCTGGCTGGCTGGCTGGCTGGCTGGCTGGCTGTATGGGGATCAAATCGCAATGCTGCGCTATGCGTCATCATATAACAGAGTAAAGGATTGCAGTCAACTATTAACCTCACCTCAACTTCATCGGTTTTGAAAAGGCCTTCAATCGAGGTGTTGACTGAGATGTAATTTGGCAGCTGCTGCTTCAACACTATGGTTTGAGTTCCACAAACCAGCATCGACCACATTGAACAGCTGTATGAAGACGACACAAGCCATATGATTCACAATGGAAAGCTCAGTGACGCCTTTGAAGGGAAGACAGGAGTAAGACAAGGCTACCGCTTACTGTTACAGATCATCGTCCTGATTGTGATCGACTGGATCATGCAGCAAACCGTGAGGAGCGAGAAAAAAGGCTTAGGCCGTAGAAGATATGGATTTCGCCAATGATTTTTATCTGTCTACTGTCGATTAAACTCGGAGATCTACAGGGAAAACCAACAAGTTGACAGAAGAGGCTAGGCAGCAAAAGAAGACGGGACTTCAATTGAAAGTAGAGAAGACAGACGTCATGAAGGTACCCAGCCAACAACAACGTCAAAAGCAAGCATCAACCACCACCAACGGGAGATATATAAAGGAAGTAGTCTCTTCTATCTTCCTAGGCACCATCGTTTCAGCTACAGGCGGCGGCACAGATGGGGACGTCAAAGCCAAGATCGGAAAAGCAAGACAGGCTCTCATTAACTCGAAACCAGTGTGGAGATCCACTGCACTTAACATAAAGAACAAGATCCAGATTTTCAACACTAATTCAGTCAAGTGACTGCTTCTGTTTGATGGTTGAGTGACTTGGCGTGTTATGCAAACCATTTTTAATAAACTACTTACATTCATCCACAGCTGCTGCCTACCCTCGTACTGAAGATTAGATAGCCAGAAAGAATAAACAACGCCGAACTCTGGCTGTTAACGAACCAACTATGTGCCCATCGCCCAACAACTATGCAGGAGATAGTGGAGACGGACTGGGCATACACTGAGAACAACACTCGGAGACATCATGCACCAGGCCAGGCCTTCAAGTGGAATCCAGGAGGAAACGACGAGTTGGGCATCCGAGGCAACGGTGGCATGGAGGAGGTGGTGTGAGAAATAAATTAAAGCTTCTGGGGAGTTGTGGAGCCAGGTTGAAAAGACTGCAGAGAACAGAGTGAAATGAAGATGTGCTACTGAAGCTTTTTGTTCCACTAGGTACCCATGGGAATAATAATCATAAATAATGCAACTACTCATTCACTAACCGACTAGCTGATGGTATACAAACTCAATTAAAAGCTTAATTAGAGTATTCGCTTGTATGCTGCGACCTGTTATTTATAAAGTTAAGTGAATTATGTAGTGTTGCTCCTTATGAAGTAAACTGCTGATCAAATCATTTGATACTTCTAGCAAAACTCTTAGAACAGCAGAAATAACCTGATAATAAACGTATAGCTGATTCATCTCTACTTTACCCTTTCTCTTCACTTGTGATTTAATTGTTTTGCAATTTCAATTCATAGGTCATTCAAATTCTGTGATAAGATTCCCACCAATCGGTATCCAACCAGATGTTAATCTTCGACCCTCCTGTCCCTTAAATTTTGCCTATAATTCACCTGCAGCTTATATCAATTCAACAGGTGCTTTAACTCCAGCTGGTAATTATTTGACCAATACCATTCCGAATGTACTTAGCCTTGCACCACCAGGAACAATTCACACTTTAATACCTAATTTAACATATAATATTTTAACAACACTTCATGACCAACAAAATCAACAGCAGCAAACTCATCAAGTTCAACAAGCAGTTGGACAACAAAGTCAGACAATGCCACCTCTCTCTTTAGATGTTGAAACTTTGAAACAACAGGTTCAGTTGCAAAATTGGCCTAGCAATCCACCCTATTCATTGGTTACATTAAATCAAAAGGTAGTAATTTTGTTATAAAGTGATTAAAAAGGTTCACATTTCTATATTTTTTACCAGAGAATATTTATGGTGTAAAGGACTGTGTTATTTAGCATTTGGTGTTACAACTTATGGATTTTTGTCACTAGTCCTAATCGACCGAGTACTATTAACATATGGACTCCTGTATGAACGCCTCGATATTGCCGGTGTTTTAAGTTTTGATGTTGGTGAGTGATATTGGTTGGTAGAGGAGTTATGCATGGAAGTTTCATCTTATTCTGAACTTGTCAGCTGTATGTACCTGCCTCCCAGTTAGTGATATTGTTCCCAATAAGATTCGAACCCATGATGAATCACTATATCATGCCCGTTGCGCAAGGAGTGGAAATAAGGAGTCAACAACGTAGTGAGTAACCCTTTGGCGTTTGAAGCGACTGATTCTAGATTTGAACCTGGGTAGGGCAACATCACCCACTGGGATGCAGCTACATCCAGGTGGCGGTCCCTAATTAGGACGAAACGCGCATTTAGGTATTCACTGTTCATCATCAATATCCATGTTATCTCAGTTAAAATAAATACGAGACGAAGCTGCATGATTTCTTATTACGAAGAGGACGTATAAGTCGATTAGGTCTTATCTCTGCGCAAATGTCTACTTGTTATTTTAGGCCTGATTGTGACTGATTAGCAACCAATCAATAAACACACTGAATTCAACTCTACTTTTCTTTAAATAAGAAATGATTATCAGCTCCAAAATAGCATTGAAATATCTTTGAATGTAAAAATCATTATAAAATTTGCTTCGTACAAAAGCCCCCTTGATTATTAGTTACTCAAGTATCTAGAAGAAAGAGTCGGTAAGGGTAATACACAATAAATAGGTTGGCATTCATATTCGATGAAAAACTTTTAGTATCAAAGGAAACTGTAATATATACTTTTCAGTCATTTATACAATACCTTTGAATATTTCGGTTTTGAGACCATTGAGGGGTCTCCCAACATCTCAGTAAAATGTCACTGTAACTCGTGATATTTCCTCAGCTATCTTAAGCGGCCTAAAACCTTATATAGTGTGCCGTGACTTTCAGTCAGTGGGCTTAGTAGACATATAGCATAGAATAAACAGAATAATAACATGACACTATGAGGATTAAAGTCTATCGACTAAGATAACAATCAAAAAGCAGTTAAAAGGAATACACTGTAGATATATGAGCTGACTAACGACTATACTTTGCATTCAATGACTTTCTAGTAAAAGAAAAAGATTGAGTTCCTTTGTATTGGTAAAATTTTAGTCTTAGATGCACAATAAGTTGTCATTTTATTCTTTCGTTGTGTACATTAGGTAGGCAAATAATTATGTTGTTATTCATCGTAGACTGACATCAGTTGGAGGAACAAAGAAATCTGGGAGCACTGAACAGCTGTTTCGTCCTAGTGTGGGACTCCTCAACAGTGCGCACCCACAACCTCGCCAGGGATCGAACGCGTGGCCTTCACGTTCCGCGGCCATTGAGCCACTGGGTCAGAATCCAATGCTTCGATCCCCGGCGGGGTCGTAGATGCGCACTGCTGAGGAGTCCCATACTAGGACGAAACAGTTGTCCAGTGCTCCCAGATTTTCTTTGTTCCTCCAACTGATATCAGTCTACGATGAATAACAACTTGAAATATTTCCAAATCTCCACAACTCTCTCAAAATAATTATGTATTGTGATTTGTAACTTGTAGGAGATACAAATTTAACATACATTACTATTGTACTTTCTACTCCACGAATTTCAGATCTTAGGACAAATCCATTCACCTACTAATTTATTTGCTGTTAATCAAAATCAGAAAATTTCCAATGCACAAGGAAATGATTCAACCATAGGCTTGACTGATGCATCACCTACAATGTGGTTACTGCCAGCCAAGATCCCACGGTAGGTAAATAAACAAAATATTAACTTTAAAATTTTATTTCACTTAAATCAGTCACATCAATCAAAATTTTTATTTGTATGCTAAACAACACTCCTATAAAGATGTGATCAAATCTTATTTTATCAATTTCTTCAGTTCTTTCAGTCCTAAAAAATACCATTCAAAGATTCAGCTTATCAGGTAGGTGCTTAGCTGAATACAACCAGTTATAGTGTTTATCATAGCTTAAAGAATACAATACAATCTAGAGTTCTATTATTTTCATTGATGTTCACGTTTGTAATGTATTAGTCCTAGTTCTGGGTGCATTTTGTAGACAATATCTGAGTCAATGTGTTTTTGTTTTCACTATTGCTTCTGTGTTCATCTTTACCCACACTATACTTTTGCGCGATTACAAATATACATTCTAGTTCCAGTTGTTTTGTGTTAGTTACCCGTCATTTTCGTCAGTTCATGTTGAAAAACTAGAATAATATAGCTCTATGTAGAAATTTCATCACAATAAATTTAGTGAGCATGTTGTGCAGGAAATCGAAATGATGTTTTGCCCATAAAATACATTTTCCTCAAATAAACAATGATTGGTCATTTATTTGAAAGTATATTTTTTACTCTAGTTTGCTAAGCAAAAAGCTGAATTTTGCACAATTTAATTGTGATTTTAAAATAATTACTGCATCCTATCCGACATCTCATAGTGTCATAAGACTGAGGTGATATCGAAATATAGAGGAGTCAGTCAGCATTACCACTGAATCTGTCATTACTGTTTAACAGTGCAGTTCACCGCACTTCACATCAGTCTGTTAAGGTAAAAGGCACCAAGACGAGAGATAGAAAAATAAGAAAGAAGGTAGTCAAAAGTGGTAGAAATTCACAAAATTTGATATGAAGATTAAGATGCAGATAATGTGTGGATACATTTTCTCTACTGACAATAATTATTAGACATGTCACCTGGAATCTCCAACCACCGATTTCGGTTGTCACATGGACGCTAAACAATAAGTCTGTTTAAGTCTGTAAGACTCAGATCAGCGGTGGTAGACTATATAGACTGATACCATGCTTCAGTCAGGCCATCTTAGACCTTTTCCAGCAAAAACCTACTATATCTAACATTGCGTGGTGCAACGTGCGGTAACTAGCCATGAGTAACACTTGTCTCATTCATATTGATTCCATGAAGGCTTTCAACCATATCAACTGACTTACATCTAATAGAAATTCTACTTTTGATTCTACGTCACTAACATGGTGATTCTATGGCATGGGTCATACGTCATAGATACATAGACTGAAAAAACCAGTGAATCCTTTTGCATTCGCTTGAAAATTTCATGAGTTACTTATGAACCAGGACCAATTCGACTTCTTAAGTAGGTTAAGTAGTCTGTGAACTGAAATGGTTCACTGATTATTATAAGACAGGCAACAATGCACACTCGTCATGTAGCAACAATTTGCATTTTGGTGGTCAGAAACGCAACCCAAATATTCCCAAATTGTCACCTAAAGTTTCCAGAAAACTCCGAATCTTGTCAGCACCGTCATCCAACAGGATTACATCATCTGGGTTCTCTTGATCTACTAAGAAATTTTCCCGCCACAAAGTCAAACGGATAAATAGAAAGTCTTGTACGCACGCCAGCAACAAAATTAAATCAGAAGGGAGACAATGGATACCTTAATGAACACCAGTAAACTTGCACAACTTACTTGGTAACTCACCATAGGCTTAGATATGCTCAAATGTATTCCAGTGCAGAACCTTCTCTCGGGTGATATACTTATCTAGCAATAATTTTAGTCGGAGATGTTGCCATAAGACCTCTCAGATGGCGAAGTTCAGGGTTGGTTCCACACCAAGAAATACAACAAGTGGCGAATGTCGAAGAGCCTGAGATCTGGAGGGTGAATTTCTTGTCACTATCGGCTATGAGACATGGCTGAAATTTTTCATATTCGGTGTTCTCCTGGCTTAACTTGGCGTTTAATCGACACAAAACGTGAGATATTCGAAAATAATTCAACCAAACTGATCCATTTTTAGTTTTACCAGGAGTATTCTTCTTTATGGAAGAGCAAAACAATTTGTGATTGAAACCAGCGACGGCAGATAAAATCTGGTTCTTGTTGACCAACTAACAATTACGTTGATTTCATCAGTAACCTTTGACCATCAACTTTCAATACTTTCGGTACTATCCCATCAGCACCCATCAACCTTTTTCATTTCAGGTTACCTACAGCTTTATTAATTTCTGCAAGAGTCGGACGTCATAATTAAGTTTTTCATTCCAGGTCCAGTTGTTAGAGAATGACCGGAAACTACCGGAGACCAGCTGAACTGTTCCTCGTAATTTTCCGCCCATCATAAAAGTTGTCTTTCTTGTGACTGAATCACGGACCTTTTGCTCTAGTTTCCCTGGTTTACCTAAATAACCATTACTGATCAGTTCTGCTCTTTCCATCTTATTAGACTTTTGCTGCTCACCACTGTCATGGTCATTGTGTAGAGTCCTTTTGAGCCCATATTTGTCTTCCTTCCATTCTTCTTTCCACTTCAAGCCTCTAGGACTGCAATCACTACATGCAATATTTCATATGAAGCTGTCGGGATTAACAGGATCATACAAGTCTTTTCTGAGGGCTGGTAACAGTTTTAACCCTGCTTTTGCAGTAAACTGGAGATGGCATCTAGTTGCCTGATGGTATACTGTCTCGATGGCTGTCCAGTTATTTCCTCATCGAAAAAAGCATTTACACCCTCATTATTGATCTCCCCTCAAAACTATGTTGCGGTTATAATCTTTTTCATACTCATTTTGATGCAGACATGCCCTAGAACTGACGTCCGGTCACTATCCGAACACATGCTGCAGGAGTACAGACGGTCTTCCACCGACTCTCTGTGCTACAAATGAATACATTGTCTGATGTCATATACTCCAAACTCAACTAGATGGTTGATGCAGATCAACTATGTCCTTACTGGCAATAAACAGGCGTGTGTCTGAGCAAAGTTTTAGCGGGCAATCGCCATTACACGCTCTTACGACTGGGCTTCCAAAAGTTCGGCCAAAGTGCCTTTCCGCCTAAATCATACTCCCTTTTTATCCATTGAAGTCGCCCACTACAACAAAAACATCTTAACATTTGGCTTTTAGAAGAAGGCTAGATAGCCTTCAATAGAACACATCTTTCACTTAATATGAAATGCAGTCAGTGGTCGCTTAGGCAGAGATTACTGGGGGGCAACGGTGAGTTCAGTTATTCTTTTTAGTCTTTGCTGAAGCATTTAGCTGAATGAAGTACTTTGATTACGTTGAGAAGTGAACTTTCCAACTCAAAAACCCTAATGCTATACATACACCTCTAGGACAATGATAACTAGCCACTAAGTCTCTAGCAATTGTAAAAGTGAACTTTGATGATTTACATGTTATGCAGGTGTTGTTAAGTAAATAACCGCACTTAAATCCAGTATGTGTGCCACAAAACAAGCACATGTTCATGGTCGAACATATCAGGGATTAGGATGATGAGGCTTGTTTGATATGCTGAAGCGTGTGGATATTCAAAGCTTCGACATATATTTGAAGGGCGGGTTCATGATATCGTTATCAAGTGCTGCAGAACTGGAGACATTTAAAATAGTGAAAGATTATCAGTGAACAAGTAACAATAAGGAAATGGTTTAGAGGATCAATAGTAATATGAGGGAACTTATAAGTCGATAGAGTTCCGAATGTGACTGACAATTTCCTCGCTCCCAAACAAGTTATCATTACTGTTATTTTTCGCTTGGGTTCCTAGTGGAACATAGGGCTTCAGTAGCACGCCTCCATTGCACTCGCTCTTCTGCAATCTGTTGGACATGGCACCACGACCGCCAACAAGCCCCATTCCTTCCTCACACCATCCCCTGTATGTCACTCCCACCTCGAATGCCCAACTCGTCGTTTCCCCTTTGCGTTCCACTTGAGGGCTTGACGCGTGATGTCCCCAGTCAGCCTTCTCAGTTTATGCCAAATCCATCTCCACATTCTTCTGCATATTTGTTGAGTAAAAGGTTTTGGTTGGTTCCTGCTAAAAGTTCCTTGTTCCTTTTTCTTTCTCGCCATCTGATCTTCAATATCGAACGTCGGTAGATGTTGACGAATGTCTGTAGTTTGTTGGAAGTTTCTGCGTGTTGAACTTGAACTGTGGTCTATCACCAACTGCTTTCAAGGCTTTCAACTTGATTTGGAAGGTTCCTTGCATTAGATAGTGGTCTGAACCTAAATCTACTCCCCCTCTTGATCTTGTGTCCAGTAGGCCAGCTGTGTCTCCACTTTCTTCAGATTCAAATACAGTCCATCTGAATTCTAGTGTGTCCATCTGGTGAAATCAGATCCATGTCGATTTGTGAATACCTTGTGTTTGTACACACTGTCTCCAGTCACAAAATCGTTGACTGCACAGAACTCTGCAAACACTCCTGCATTCTCGTTGGTCTCACTAAGTGCATCTCTACCCATGATGGATTAGTCCTCTTCCTGTGTTGTCCACTCACAGTTTAGTATTCATGTCACCCCACCCATTAGAATGAATTTTGATGTCACCCAACGTGGTGAGATCTTGTCTATTACTGATTGCAGTTGTTTGTAGAATCCCTCCTCCTTCTCCACATCTGCATTACTTGTAGGTGTGTGGCGTAGCATTGCATGATTGTGAATTTCTCTTCTTGAATCTTCAGTTGAATCCATCTTGCTGTCACGATGCCGATCGTGTGGGAGGAGATTGGCTCCCAATACATGAGAGCCTTCGATGTTCTTGGAGACATCATGATAGCCACTCCAAAACTCAGTGTGCTCGTGGTTGTCGTCTGAGTGACAATATCGGAGTAGATTATTGGCTCTTCAGTTGACAGTTGGGAGAGTCCACTTTCAATTCATTTGGTTTCACAGATTCCTTGGAGATTCCAAGCACTTCTATGTCATACCCTCTCATCTCGTTTGCAATCTGAGCATCCTTGGTAGGTTTGTAAATGGCGCGGACATTCCATGTCCCCACTGTTACTTTCGCTGTCATCGAGCGGAGAGATGACAAATGGGCCAATTGGCTTCGTGAAGGCTTTAACCAACTGGCATCGATTTGTCTCCCCGAATCCGGGAGGAATATATTTGTTTTCTTTTTTATGATTTCTTTGTGCTTAAACGTTTCTTTGGGAGTTGGATTGGTTTTCCGGTATGGGGTTGTTGGCCGTATGCCCAACCTTCCCTCTTTATCCGTGTTTAGTAACGGCCAGTAACTAGTGAACTAGTTATCCAGGTGAGGTTTTCCCAAAGAATAGAAGGTTACGTTTTCCTTAGTTATCTGAACAATAGGCTTCGTATTTGTAGCGCGTGATCGCAGAGCCGAAAAGAAATCTTAGTGTGAAGGGCCATAAATGGTTGATTTGGGAATTGGAATTTGACCTCATGCTGATTACAGCTAGAATACGTGGGTCGCCGTTAGGGTGGGGTAGTAGCCTGCTTTTTTCAAGCCAACACTTTCTACATTATCCTCTCTAAGATGAAGGAGGCAGTACTTAATTGGATTTCTGGTCATCGCCAACGAGTCGCTTAGTGCTGTCATATCAAGGCCCAGTCAACTGCGAAGTTCGCTCTCCAGCCCTGAACACAGCGTATTAATTTACATTATGATGTTAACTACTTCTTATTTAACCAATACCAAATAGATGTTTCTAGTACGATAGATCTCTGAGGAAAAAATGTTATCACCAACATAGCTGGTTGGGTCATAATGATATGCAAACCTGATCTAATGGTTGAGGTAGCAGCTACCAGCTGGAAAATGCTTGGAAAGCGAAGAATCATCCAGTACTTGAAAACTGCAATTATTCCTTTCGAGTTTACAAGTCCTTTTGTTTATGTTACCATGAAATAAAATGAAATTCACACGTAAGACACTTATTATGCGTATTTGAATTAGAAATGAGAGATTTAAGATTCGGCCATGATTCAAAAAGACAAGGGGAAGCAATTCAGGAAACACTTCTGAAAATTCACTATTTAACTGACTGGAACTGAAGTTATTTAGGATGTCAACTTATCTAATGCGAAAGCATCAATTAATAATCAAATAATTAGGATATTTGCATATCTTCTTATTACTTGACAAGTTCAGAAGAGAAAAAAGAGGTAAATAAAACAGTAGTTGGGATGTAAATAATTAGAGGATTCGCTAAAATTATCAAAAAACTCAAGATGGAGATGCGGAATAAAGATTAGGAGTATAGGTGAAGTTCATCCTCAGATTAGATAGATATTAAGAGTTCTGAATTGATGAAAGTCTTCCAGTTCCCAAAAATCCTTTTTTAATTAGGCCTCTTTTTTTATGTATGCTATAAAATTATTAACAGTTCGTGCTGTATAGCAGATCCCTACTTCTCCGTAAACAAGAATTTTTTCGAAGAATTCCACTATTATTAGTTTATATACAGAAGTATTCTTTGTGACACTCCATTGTGCTTCACATTCACTCTACATGTATTTCAGGCCTATTATTGAATCTTCCATATCAATTGGTACACAAAACTCAATTAATAATTATTATTTCGAACCTAATGAAATGTTTTCAGCCTTACAAATCAGTCATTAGAATATCAGGTTAGTAATCTATAGGTCTTGCTTACAAATTCTCTACTGGTGTTGGTTTTATATGATCAGTAATTCCCCAATTCTGGTTCATCTGTTCCCTCCACTCCTAAAACATACTCTTCGACTAATTGGCATCACGTTCCTCAGTTATTAACATCTTCATTACTTCTCTGTCTAAACAATAATCAACTTTATGTTTACCATTTATTGTTTAAAATGATGACCTTTGTAACTTTATTCTATCCAATGGTTTTTCTTAAAGAAAGCAACTCATTAACTGAAATCATACTTCTTCTATTTGCCTTCTTGTCGTTGTGTATGCTTTTTTATGCAGTAGAAACAAATTGCATTTAATTTTTTTATCTTATTATATCTCGTTTAGTACTATATACACACACATAGTAACCGTTTGAGTGCGTTACTTTACTATAATTTATCTTTGTGCACAGTATCTACAAACCACCCACAGATATACATCGATAATTATCATAGATGCCATTTTTGTTTAACTTCTTATTACTATTTCTTTTATTCAAATCTTATATTATAAGCAAACACTCAGAACTCAAAAGGTGAATGCTGCCATCTTCAAGAGTAGTGAAAAAAAGTATCTATCAGCAATAGAAAACTTGCTTTGAAGTTAGTTTCGATTATAAACTGACATCTGTCGAAGAACCACTGAATAACTGGAAACACTGAAAAGCTGTGCATTCACCGTCTGTAAAACAATGAGCCCAAAAATATTAAGTGACAACTGAGCACTAGGAATTACAATTTGTTGATGAGTATGAAACTTATATAAATTGCTTTTTGTTATTATCAGTTAGCCGAAAATATATTTAGTATTGAAGTTTAGCCACTATGCTCTATTTATTGGTACTATTCTGTCTTTGCCCTATTTGAATGCATATTTTATTGACCTACTACTGGAGTATTGCACTAATTGTAGTGAATTTAAGCAAGGTACATGGTCAAAAACAGAAGTATCAACAATATTATTCTTGCTTTCATTAAAAATGCATGCTGTCATTATACAATGTCAATGCAGTAGTAGTGGTAGTTGGTCATTGAGTTGGATGTGTAATAGTTAGCTTTTCTGCTCTGTTAAATGTGTTTTTTTGGTCAATATTTATAGATTTAGTTTACTTTTATTGTCTTGGTAACAAATTTTTATTATATTCTGAAAATTTAACAATCTGTTGTTATTTTATCATTGTATGAATATTTTCTAATGAATGTTCTTATTCATGTTTTTTTTATTTCAAAATATTATATTCGATACTGATAAATTATCTTGTTGACTTGCATTATTAAAAATTAATGTTTTCTTTCTCAGATCTGTCTTGAAACTGCTCATCAACAGTTCTATCTAACCCAGTAGGCAATAGTAAGTATATTTACTTCGATTTGAATCGCAAACCGATGATTTGGATTAGTTGGATGAAAGTAATCGGCAGGAGGCCCTGGACTTAGGTTTCTTGCTTGTTGGCACTCATCAGCAAGGCATATCTGCAACATCAACGGAACTGATATCTCGCCTATGGTTCGAACCCCTTGTCACCCAGTATTGAACTAGATGATTTGTAAGTCGAAGCGGAAGCAGGCCTAAATAGTTGACTAATGATTGTCATATCTAAAGTAGTAGGAAATCTATCTTTTGACATAAGATTCTTACTGTTCATTTTTTTTCTGTGGATACGTAGTTGTTTGGTCTTAAAACCCTTGCTAAAGGTTGGAATCAAACTTCACCTGAAAACGTAACGTAATGCGTAACTCAAAGTGTAATTTACATGAATATGGATATTGATTTCCATGTGATATTGAAACCAACTGTACTATACAAATTTTAATTTATTTCCCTTCTCTTGAATTTTTCAGAGTTCACTAAAAGATGTTAGAAAAAAAATACCTATCCATCCATCCATCTTTCCATATGATATCTATTTTCAATTTCAAAAATCAAGTATCTTCTGGAAAATCTAACAAATTTTGCTTTGTATTTAATCGCATTGTATTGTGATATCTTCTCAAACTTTCTTTCTTTATCTTAATCGAAGTCACTTTCTAATTACCTTCATGTCAATTTTACAAGTAAAAGTTGTGATCTTAATACCTGAAATAAAAAAACATTGTATCAATTGATCATGGAACTAGTGATTGACTTTAAAAAGCTCAAAACGTATTGAAAATTCAGTCTTTTTATGGAAAGGGAAGTGAAATAAAACACAAATATTCATCAACATTGTTTTTTCCATTCTGTACAAGTGTTCGATATGTTTCGTTTTCTTAAAGTAAACAAATAAATAGTTATTGTGTTTTGAATTTCAGTTGCATCTCATTTTAGATGAAATATTCTCATAGGATATCTATGTTACCTGTGAGTAGTAGCTACGATAGCAAAAGTAGAAGGAATGGAGTCATTTTAGTAAAAATGTTGTGTTTCTACATTTGAGAATATGTAAACAGAACCAACTTACTCAGCTGAATGTTTTTACAGATCTGGTAGGATTTGATGAAACTGTCTGCACAGTAGTTGTAAAAAACTGCAGCAACTTCATCTTCACTTTAAGGCACTTAAGTATTCATAGAGATGTTTTCATTCCTGTTTTAAACATATGTACAGCTCAGTCCTAAAGATCTTGTAAGCCGCTTAAAAACAAGGTGATTTAAAAAAGGAGAATGCTATTTAGGTGCAGTATATAGGTATATACGTAAAACAATTTGCGAAAACCATGATAGCACAGTATTGTTTTGAGACAAAACTTTGTTAACTTGAAATAATTAGTTTATTTTCCGAAACAGTTGTCACAGGATTGATTTGTTAATCACACAAATAACCGGAGAGACTCAAAAATGGATTACTAACATCTTGCTTACAGTTATAGAGACTAAATAGAGTAAATCAGCAAACATATGTAAAAAAGATCATACTTCACAATACCTAAAAGTCATCAGTATGCTTTTTATTTCCCAATTACCTTATAAATTGGTTGGACTCACATTTATGTTGGTATTTCTACTGAGTTTTGAAAATCTTATCGTGTACTTAAAACATTAAGCGCTTACAGTTACTTGTTTCCAATCATATTAATTTTAAGATAGTGTTCATCATGAATTAGCATCATTAACGGGACCATTGTAAGCTAAGAAATACGGAATAGCATTCTGTGTCGGACTGTTCAACAGTTCTGGATAACTAAATTATCTACACTTGATATGACAGTTCAGTTGTAAAATTGTAGAATTCATGAAGTATTACTACTCAAAACAACAGGATTGAATAAGAATTTATGTGCAGTTAATAAGAATGCATCAATAGGTGACCGACTGTTCCCGATGTGAATTTAATAGCACGATGAAAGTAATACTTCATGAAGACTTTATAGGGTCGGGGACTCTTAAATTTATGTCAGTGCATTTTGGCATTCTAAATGGTCCTCTGAACCCTTGACTACAGTGCATAAACACTTATTATAAACCTAAATCTCGTCTTGTATTTAACAGCCCAACAAATCCCTCAGAAAACGAATAGTACTAGTCCTTGTAACTAGAAGTATTCTAAAGGAGTGTGGATTACCATAACTGAACTGTGATCCACAATAATTTTTCGATAAAATCAATGACTTTTGCAGCTTACGCTAGTAATATCCTCTCAATATCATCTAGTCACTTGCAAATAACCCTTCCTTAATACCAATTTTGTCAGTATTTAGTTGTAACTTTGCTGTGAGGAATATGGAAAAATTAACGAAGTTTGAGCAAGTAACTTCTATTATAATTTTCACTTCATACAAAAATCCGTATTCTGGACCAAACTGTTATGAAGGTAGAATAAAGTGTGCTGGAAGAAAACACTTAAGATTGCCAAGGATACCCTACCATACTTTGAGTTAACAAAGCGAAAGAAATCACAAGAACCTAAACTACTACTGATATTAATAATAAGAAATCTGAAGGATGTATAAAGCTAGACTAAAACGTTGCCCCAGTTTTATACACTGAATGGGTGGAATTTGGGTCATATCACATATGGTCTTTAACCGACAATAGCTTTCAAACAAATGGAATTGTAAAACCTATATCTGCATCCTTGTACATTTAATAGATCTACAGTTGCTGGTCCCATCGATTGTACCACACCTAACTTTCATCTCCATACAAACCATCCCCTTTCATTTTTATTGAGCAGTCACAACATGTGGAAAAACGCTGTAAGTTAGCATGTCTGGTATATCTTCCTATTATATCATGTATTACAATTTTATACCAGTGAAATAACACTCATATTCATTAAAAGGAGACTATAAAACTATTTCGGAGGAGTCGAATAACAATTGTATTCATAAAGATAATATTAAATATATCTACACTTTTTTTGTTCAGCTTATCGTATGAAAACACACATACAAACCACATGGTAATTCAGTTTTGTGTGATACTCACGGAAATAATATGAAGCATTTATTATATCAGTGCACTTGTTTGACATATGTTTGACATAAAATTTGCACTAAATATCTGTGAAGTATACCTTTTCTAATGTGCATACAATTACACTGACAAATATTCAGATTTTATTTATTGTTACGATCATTAAAATCAATGAACAGTGCGTAAAAGTATAAATTCATCAAATCTTTAATAGAAGTATCTTTACTACATGCTATCGTAACGGATATAGCTGTAGGTTTCGTGGAAAGCACATGAAAATGAGAATAATCATGTGTTAGATGTGATAAAATACATTACAAAAGTACCCTACTGAAATAGGATAATATGAACCAGAATTCGAAATAAACGTTTTTAAAAGTTTCTCACTGAAAATCTTGAAGGTAACACTTAATCACGGTTTTAGAATATTTATTTATTACGAGTTTCTTTTCTCAGCTTAAGGTGCGGAAAATAAAATGAGTTTTATTGTTCACAATAACTAAAAGTTTTACGTTTCCTTCGAAAGCCATGAGAAACTAAATTAACGGTTACAAAGGATATACAATGAACCTATGCAACTTGACACAGATACTTAACCGTTGCAGTGGTATTAAAACATATTAAAGAACGTTTAAAGTCAGTGCGGATAAGTTCTGGAGAATTGTTTCATTTAATGGCATACTTATGATTACTGCATTTATTTATGTCTGTTTTTAGTAACCTCCTGTAAACAGCAAATAGTTTCGAAAAAAGATCAATTCCTATATGATTTGATAAGTTCTTCAAGGTGTTAGTTGATGATGGAAGCCATGGTTACAATCTTCTCAGATACGTAGTTTTTCAATTGTCTTTCATTAAATAAATATTAAATGTTCAATGCAGAGTTGTTATTGAAATTTAATGTCACGTTATAACATTAATCCAATCAAAAATACTTATTCAGTAAATTTTCTGTACGCACAAATGCAAAGGCAGTAACAAAAGTGATGAGTTCTCTTGCTTTACTAAAGATCGAAACTGAAGTCTAGAATTAGTATTTCGATGGCATATATTTGGCTAAAGTATATAAATTACTGTACACCTTTAACATGACAAGTAATGATTCCTGTCAATTCCGATGGAAATGAGAAATAAAGTTGAAATATTGTATAGTCCTGGTTATTCCAGTCAAGTAGAAATGAATATTCAAATGGAAAATATTTTGACATAACTAGTCTCTTCGATGAATTTACTCAAAGTAGTGAGAACAAAATAGGAACGAAAATGCAGGGCAGGGAAGATAAACGAAACTGATAAAACCTAAAAAAGATTAAGTCGAGCTTGGTAAACCACAAAGGTATGATTATACAAATCCAATTCAGAAATGTTGGGAGCTAAATGTAAACCGTCTAGCTAATGAGCAAACAGGAAATGTGAATTATAAATTTCAAAAATGGCCACCCACGTGACATAAAGAGAGATACTTGAATAGGTTATTCCAGACTGCTTTGTTCGCGTCGGTTGCTGAGAATCAGAAATCTTGTGGCTAACAAATTCTGTATTAAACTGATGTCTCTAATACACAAAAATTCCTGAAAACTTTATTTTATGTAAACAAATGAAAGTAAAAACTAGGAAAATAAGTCAGACATTACTTGTCTGGTAAACAGTAACGATTGTGAATGTGATTACATCAAGCAAATTAGATGCCCTGCTATTCTTCACTTTCATGGGCATCAACTAAAGATTCAGTATCACGATATGACTTGTCTGCAATTGCAGTTCCAAACATCAGAGTTCAACTCAGAAAAGTGACGGTAATTCAGTGAAAGTTACAACAAATAAACTCAGGGTTATTTAATACTTTCGCCTTAAATCAACTTATATTCATTCAATTAAGGTATTGATGTAAATATTTGGTCAACCGTTTGAAGATTTTCGTGATGTTTCAAGAAGCAGTTTGATGAAAAAGAATATCTTTTTATCTGGGAGTGGCCTTTAGAATGCGCTTGCATCTCAGTGAGTGGTGTTAATCCCTCTGAAGTTCGAGCCAAGGACCTATCATTTTAAAGGAATAGCCTTATTCACCAGGCTAGTAATTCACAATATATTCTCTATGTACGACGGATATAGTTCTAATGTTGTATCCTCTAACTTCCCCTTTGTAAGCTGGATGGAATCGATTGGCTGCTATCGCAGTTAGAGCTAAAAAATGTTCCATTCATTAAGTGCATAAACTACTTATGAATACACAAACATTTCTAGGGGTCAAGTAAAACTGCGCTGGGGAAATGGATTATAGTCTGCATGCAATTGTTTGTTTATTTATGACAATAGGACTGGATCGATAAAGATACGTGATTTGATGAGTTCTAGTCTAAGTAGAGTGGTCTATATATATCGTTACAGAACTAGAGTAAGCGTATGTAATGAAATCGTTGATCATTACGATTAGAAGATATGTACAATGCTAAGTATCAGGGTTGTGTTTCATGTAGTGTAATAACTAGAAACTCATCAATCCAAATATGTGTTAAAGTGATTTCAGAGACAAAATATGTTTTTTTTGCTTACATGTAACTGACGTTATTTGCCCCAATTTGTTAGTAATTCCGTAGTTTCCAGAATTTCAAGCCTAGTTTCTTTTGGCAAATTACTGCCAACCTGATAAATAACTGAAAATGATTCATGAATGCTGTGTATGTATTTTGAACTAAGTGAGCTTATGTTCAGCAGTGGTTAATACTTATTATACATTTACTTGTCCACATCTAGAAGTATTCACGAACATGAAAAATTATTTTACTAAAGCAGTAAATAACCCAAGTGGTTTCTATACCAGCAGTCTGATTGACAAGTATAAAAGGACATGGCCAGTCTAGATAGTTCATAACTCATTCTCAATATTGT